CCTGTGCTCTCTCCCACCTTGCCCCTGGGGCTGAGACACCCCAAGATCCCACAGGACCTTAGTGACCATCATCTTGTATTGTGCACATCCTGTGTGCCAGGGTTTTACCTGCATTATCTCGATTGAGCCTGCGTGGGTGAGAACAGGGCCACTGCTACCTCCCATTTGATGGAAGAGGAGACAGGCTCAGAGAGGTTAAGCCTTTTGTTTAAAGCCACACAGCAAGGGTCCAGATCTCAGTGTCTGGATGATTCCTAAGCCCTGACTTCACCCTCTGCCTGGGAAGAGGGTTGACAAAGATCACTCGTGTCCTGGGAGTTTCCCGGCACATGGGTACCTCCCCCAGGGGAGATGAGCGGTTCTCCTCTGCTGACCCCTCCCAGCAGGGCTCCCCAAGGGCCAGCACAGCATAGAACATACAACGCTCTCTCCGTGCTCTGCTGAATGCCTTCCTGGGTCCCTGGACAGTGGCCAGAGGGTATTTGGAACTCAGATGTGGGCCCCTCAGTCTAACCCGCTCTGGCCAGAATTTCAGCTCATTTTTCACCACTTATGACTCATCTCCCAGAAAAGAGGAAAGATTTGTTCATGTTTCCCCATGGGTCCAGGCAGGTGGGGCAGCCCCGGGCTTCTTCATGTCCAGCTTGTCACTGGATGTTCCTGGGGCTTCTTCCAGGTGGCCAGTCTGAGCAGGTGAATGAGCTCCTCCCACCTTCTGGGAGAGTCAAGGCCAGACACAGTGGCTTACACAGGACCCCACCCACTCTTGATGGTAGATTCAGTGGTCCAGGTTACCCTCCCCATTTCACAGATGAGGGGACAGAAGCTCAGAAGAAGGTCCCCCATGTGGCTGGGGGGGGGGGTGGGGACAGCTGTGCCTGGAAGCCAGGGTGTCTGACTCCAAGCACCACACTCTGCATCACCTGCCACTATTTAGATCTGGCTTCTGGATGTGGGTACCAGCCTGGGTACCGGCCTCATCTTCTGGCTCCCTGCTCAGACCTCAGAGCTGTCCCCAGAGGCCTTAGTGCATCACAGGCCAAGGGTTGCAGGGCCATGAATGCTGAGTCAGGAGGACACATCCCAGGAGGGCGACCAGCCAGCCATCCTGGTTTGCCAAGACTGAGGGTGTTCCTGGGATGTGAATCTTTAAGCACTAAAATTGAGAAAGTCCAGGGCAAACCCCGACAGGTTGGTCACTGTCCGTCCTGGCCCCTCTCCTGTACTCACTCTGTTCCTGGCACATCTCCTCTGCCTCACTCATGAATATTGGCTTCCCTGAGGACAGGCAGGAGGGAGAAAGCCTGGCCCTTATCCCTCCCCCTCTGACCCTCCTGACTGCCAGTCTACCTTCTCTGTCCACATCCGCACTCGGTCCCGGAGGCAGGGGTGCCAGTGGGTCTCAGCCTGGACCTGGCCATCAGCTCTGGCACACACAGAGGCAAGTTCCCTGCTGCTGGGGCATCTGGTGGGACGTTCCCTTGGTGGGAACCAGTGTAGACAAGAAGAGGGAGTTTGAGGCTAGAACTCTTATCTGGGTTCTTCATGCCGCCCGCCACACCTTGACCCTGGGCGATGGGTCTTCCCCATCCCAGAGTCTAATTTGTTCCCTATATTTGAATGGCAAAGATGCCACATAGCAGGGCAGTTAGCAGTACAGACACTGGTGCCAGACGGCCTGGGTTCAAATCCTGCCTCTGCCACTTCCTGGACAAGTGAGGTAACCTCTCGGAGCCCCCAGACTTGCATCTAGAATGTGAGAATAAATGTGTGATTGAGTAGATGTGAAATCTAGATTAAGTTAGATGATGCCTCCAAAATAGTGGTTCTCACCACGGTGTGATGTTGGCTCTCTGGGGACATTGGCAATGTCCGGAGATATTTTTGGGTGGACAACCAAGAGGGCAGGGGCTACTGACATCTGGTGAGTAAAGGCCAGGGATGCGGCTAAACATCCTGTTCTAGCTCCTTCCAGTCCATTCTTTTTGCAGGAAGACTGCTCAGTGCCTACCGTCCTCTGTGCTGGGCTTCTTGAGCTGGGGGCTGTGCCTCCTTGGGAATACTGGTCCCATCCACTTCTGTCAAGTCCTCTGGGATCATTTGTACCAGTTTCTGGCTTCTGAGACCTGCCACTGAGACCTCTCTGTGCTCCAGTCCCCCAACCTGCCTCCATCTCTTTAATTGCTTATAAGATGGTAACCTGACCTACTCGGTCCTAAGGGTTCCTTGCCTTCTAGGTCCAGCAGGCTTTCACAGTCCTGATCTTTACTCTGTTTTGAGACTTCATTCCTTACCAATTGGAGGACAGAAAGCCTGTGTAATCTCAGCTTTTGGACTTTATACCAGAACCTTCTCAAAAAGAACTCTCCGGAGAAAGAGTGAGCTGATGAATGTACCTTTGATCCTTATACCTGCTGTTGCCTCATGTAGAGACCATAATGCAAAGCTCAATTGAAGGAGGGAGTGGAGGGGTAGCTGGTGACACTCAGGTATTGGAGAGAGCTGTGTATACCGCGGACTATGAGAAAAAATGATCTTGGGGCACCTGGGTGACTCAGTCGGTTAAGCGTCCGACTTCGGCTCGGATCATGATCTCACGGTCCGTGAGTTCGAGCCCCGTGTCAGGCTCTGTGCTGACAGCTCGGAGCCCGGAGCCTGCTTCGGATTCTGCATCTCCCTCTCTCTCTGCCCCTCTCCTGCTCATGCTCTGTCTCTCTTTCTCTCTCAAAAATAAAACATTAAAAAAATTTTTTAAAAAGTTTCTTCAGGTTGAGGGCTTAGTCCTATCAGACTGCCCCCCTGCCTGCTCCCCCACACCAGATGCCAATTGCAAAGCCCAGGCTGTTAGCTGTCCTTCTGACCAACCTGCTACAAATCAGAGGTTCCAGTGACCCCCCTCCAACTCAGGATGCCAAATGCAAGACCAGGTGGCTGCTTGTACTTCTGACCAACTGACTGTAAATGAGAAGTTCCCACAACCCCCTCCTTGGGTTCCATTAATTGGCTAGTGCTGCTCACAGAGCTCAGAGAAACCATTTACTTACTAGGTTACTGGTTTCTTATATAAGGATATAATTCAGGAACAGCCAGATGGAAGAGACACAGAGGGCAAGGTGTGGGGAAGGCTCAGATCTTCCATGCCTTCTGCAGGGGACCACTCTCCCATCCCCATGTGCTCATCAACCCAGAGGCTCTCCCAGCCTGCCCTTTGGAGGCTTTATGACACAGAAATGATTAAATCACTGGCCATTGGTGGTTGAACTCAACCTCTAAACCCTCTCCCTCACCCTTTGAAAGTTCCAACCCCCGAATCACCTGGTTGGTGCTCTTCTGTAGCCCTCATCTGCCGCCATCATTAGGTGTGGTCCCAAACTCACCTCATTAGCACAACAAAAGACACCTTTATAGCTCCCTTCACTTGGGCAATTCCAAGGGTTTTAGGAGCTCTTTCCCAGAAACAAGAACAAAGATCAAATATATACATTTCTTATTACAAATCACAATATCCCAGCTTCAAAGAAGACCTTTCAGAGGAGGAGATGATTGAACTGTTTTTAAAAGTCACCTTATAGAAGAAAAAATAAATGAGCAGTGATATTTATTCTCCTTCTCAGACTTTCCTGAAAATTCCAGTGGAAGTAATGTGGTCTCATTGTAGAACACTTAGAAAATTCAGTAAAGAGAAAACACAAGGTTGAACTGAATCTTTTTTTTTTTTTTTAGCTTTTTATTTGAGAGAGTGTGAGTGGGGGAGGGGGACAGAGAGAGGAGAGAGAAATCCCAAGCAGGCTCCACACTGTCAGCATAGAACCCAACATGAACTCAATCCCACAAACTGTGAGATCATGACTTGAGCTGAGATCAAGTGTCAGACGCTTAACCAGTTGAGCCACCCAGGCGCCCCTGGACCCCAGCCTCTTGACCATTGGCGTCCAGTATTCGTTGCAGTGGGGGCTGGCCTGTCTTATGGGGCTGGTAGCCGCATCCCTAGCCTCTGTCCACTAGGTGGCACCAGAGCACCACTCATCGTAACAAACCAAACCTGTGGTCCCTTTCTGGAATATTCCCCGGGGAAGGGGCGGGGGACATCAGACCTGGTTGAGAACCAGCGCCAGAGGGAGAGACAAGGTGGCTCGTTAAGGACATGACAGGCAAACGAATAAGATTTGAAGGAGGGGACTGATACGGTCAGATTTTTATTTTAGGGAAATTCCTGTGGTTGCCACATCCTTTCAGAAAGGCTGCCCGATTTCCCCCAACCTCCCATGTGCACAGGGGTCATCTGGACCTAAGTGTGTCCAGCACAAATGCAGAGATCCCAGTTACATCGCCCACCAGAAAAAACTGCAGGGAGCCCAGTGGAGGATGCCAGCAGCCGGCTTGGCTCTCCGAGGGCACATCTTAGACCCGCGTCTGAAAGGCAAATGCTGACGCATCCCTGCTTGGCCCCATGGGCCTCCTTGGGTCCAGTGCTCCTACCCTGTCCTGTAACACAGCAGGCAATAGTGCTGAAACCACCCAGGACACGCACGTTACCAGTTTATCACGTGAGGTTTCCGCAGCTGTGGCCACCGTGGACAAAAGTGCCCTGTCTTTTACTTCCCCAGCTGAGACCGCGACCAGTGTCTCTGCTCCTGGAAGAGAGAACAGTCTGACTATCACCACAGCCTCCAGCCCTGACAGCAGGGTGACAGGTGGGGCTCCGGTGTCCTCATCTGACCCAGAGAGGGAGCTCAGAAGCACGGCTGCCGGTGGGAACTCTGAGCCCTCCAGGGCACCCCTCTCCAGCACCCCAACAGCCGCGTCACAGACCCAGGCAGGCTCCGTTCAGGACGCGAGTGAATCCCAGCGCACACGCTGGACAGAAACAGATCCTGGGGGGTCCTCAAGCATTGTGGTAACCTCTGTCAGCCCTTCCCCCACTCCGGAAGTCACTGCAAAGAGCAGCCCCTCCAAAGGAACTTCACCCCAAGAAACCTCGACAGACACACTCTTCACAGAAGCCACAGGCGGCCCAGCCACTGATCAGCTGACTGTCCCCAGTGGGGTGGGAAACAGCAGCACCAGGAGGAGTTGGACCACAGCCCACCTCCCCACAGAACATACGGCTTCATCTGAGACACTCACGGGTTTGACTCAGACCATGAGAAGTGCCCCAGTCACTCCAGCCGAGGTGGGGGCGGCTGGTAATCCAAGTACTCCAGGAGCCACACGCTTGCCCTCCAAGACGGTCTCTTCTACTTATCCCGAGACGTCATCTAGAGAGACTCCAGATTCCGGGGAGCAAAGGAGCCCAGGACTGCCTCGGTCCAACACGGAACATCACTTTGCCTCCCCTGAGCTTGGTTCTGAGGGAGACACCACGCTAACCCCCAGTGTTTCCCTGCTGTCACCTGCTTCAGATCTGGGTGATAAAGTGCCAGGCTCTAGCACATCCTCAGTGCAGACAGTTACCTCTTCCACGACCACGGGGATCCCGGGGAGCCCAGAGAGGACGGAGCCCAACTCAGCTGTCACGTTTCCCATAACGGCAAGTAATCCAGCGGCAAGTGCTGGGAGGGTCAGAAGTGCCACCTCTACCCTGGCCCGTCCATCTCCCCCAGGGGAGGAGACAGCAGGGAGCATGCTCCCCCTCAGCACCTCCCCCGAGACCCCAGACCCGCCCAGCCTCCCCGCAGCCAGGACTTCGGCTTCGGAACCGTCGGGTGGCCCTGGAACCCTCAGCATCACCAGTGTGTCTGGAATGAAGACTTCATTTTCTCCACCCCCCTCCTCTGCCTCAGAAGAGACCAACACCCTTTTATTTACTACTGGAGAGGATTCAAAGAAACCTTTAAATCCATCTGTGTCTCCACCTGAGACCTCTGTTTCCAGAGACAAGACCACCTTGGCCTTCACCTCTGTGCCCACGCAAACCCTCTCAGCCGTGGACTCCTGGGCTACACGCTCAGGTGAGTACCCCTCATCCCACATAGCGAATGCCTTCAGGACCACAAACAGCACCTCCATTGCACAGTCAGCCAACACCACTCTTCCTAAAACTTCTCGGTTGACGAGGACCCCTGCTTTTATTCCTGCAGCTGCCATGTCACAGACCAACACTGTACTTCACAGCAATGCTTGGCCGGAGACGAGTCCCAAATTTGCAACAAGGTCGCCTCCGGCACGAAGCACTGTGTCAGCGACTGTCCCTCTTTCTGCGGCCGGCGTGGTTCCTGGATTCAGTTCCCTAAAGACCAGCTCCACGGAAGGAGTGTCTGTGTGGCAGCCTTCAACAGACAACCCAAGAGGTCCAGCCACCGTTCCTTCCGGACCTTCCACCAGGATGCAGCCCACAGAGGGAAATGGTGGGGAAAGGAAGTCGGGAACAACCCACCTGCCCATTGGAACCGCATCTCCACCTGAGACATCCACACATGCCTCCCTGGCCAAGGAAAGCCGTTGGGTCTCAACGAGTGCATCTCAGTCCACTGGTGCTTCCAGCTCAAGGACTGTACGAAGGACAAGCCACTTGGCTGGCCCCTTGTCTGGGGCCCCCTATGATTTGTCCTCTGGGGGGCTTACAGTTTCTGGGGATGAAACCAGCCCACCTCTGGCTCCAGAAACAACTGCAGTTCACTCGCCTGATAACTCGTCTTCATCTGCTGCTTCTGTTGCCCCAGTCCCAGTGGCCACCACATTTTTAGCCCAGAAGGTCACCGCAAGCACTGTAGCCGGCACAGCCGAGGCTAGTAAATGGGACATGCCCATATCTTCTAGGACTTCCTCATCACTTAGCAACTCCCCAGCCAGTGCGGACACAGGGAGGGGCGTCTCTGTTCCCCTGGCTACTCCATCGTCAGCCCCGTCAGTGGAGCCATCAGAAGAGAGCGTCGCTACCTCTGGCACCCGCCCAGAACCAACAGACTCACCCGGCGTCCTCCTCAGAGAGGTGCAAACCAGCCCAGAGAGTCACACGCCCCTTGTCTCACCCTCGGTGAAGGCCACCACGGCTGTATCAATAGCAAAAATGGAGACTGATGAAATCTCTTACTCTTCTGGGTCGCCACCTGTGATGTCACTTCCCGGAAAGATCGGCACCAGTGGTACCGGGGCCTCCGCCACATACGTCCCCCCTCCGGATCCGATGGTGACACGTTCAGCTCAGGTCTCTTCATCCCATTTGGTGAAAGAGCTCAGAACCACAGACACTTATGCAAGAACAGAGTCCGCCAGCCCGGCTGCTGATGCTGGAAGTCCTCAAATCCCAAGGACACCCAGTCCCACTAGCCCAGACAGGATGGCAGGGGCCAGCACAGACACAGCTGAACGCTTCACTGGATCCCAGGGCACAGATCCGGCAGAAAAATCCCCTGGCTTCGGGACACGGTCAACCCTAGGACCAGTGTCTGTCGTGGCCTCTGCCTCCCCTCCCTCTGGAAGCAGCACATTGGAACTGACCTCTGACGCCTCAGGTGAGTCCTTGACCCTGAGCACCAGTAACGAGAGCACAATCACTTCTTGGCTCCGGGCTCTCAGTACGTCTCTCCCCATGGTAACGTGGCTGAGTACCAGCTCAACAGAGGAAAGGGCCTTAAATGCTCCCGATGCTTCAAGTCCAAGTTCATCCAAGACATTTGCTACATTTACACCTTCTGTACCTTCCCATGAACTTGCAGATCCAGGGGTAGACACCACTGTTCTCCAAAATACAGATTCGACCACCGTGGGCACGGGTGGGGACTTAACTCCCCCCACAGCCACAGCCTCCCACCAGCTCAGCATGAGTCCGTCCGCCTCGTTGATTCATGCACCCTCAGATACTACAACCATAGCTATCACAGCCTCAGGGATGAGGGACAGCACCGATGTGTCTGCTTCCAGATTTCCAGGCCTCTCCAGCACAGAAGCCGGGCAGAGCTCATCTCGGCCCCTCCCCATTACCTCTCCATCGACAGAGCCCACATCCCCAGCAGCACTGACCACTTCAACACCCAAGAGAAGACTCACATCAGAGGCAACAAGACCAGCCGGCTCCGTGTCTCGAGACGAGACGAGCTCACCCCCAAGGCGGACTGCAGAGGTTCAGAGTCTTGCTTCCATGGTTAGCTCTGTGGAAACCAGCAGGGGGGTCGCTCAGACGTCTGACCGTGGAAAAACCACAGTCAATCTGAGAACAAGTTTAGCTGCCCAGTGGAATTCATCTCTGCCTTTAACACACAGCACTGTGGGGATCCCGGCTTTGTCTGAGGCCACCACTCCTGGAAGGCAACGTGGCCCCTGGTCAGAATCATCAGTGACCACAGAGAGAGTTGGGCCAGAACCCTCTTCTTCAGTCTCCTCTGTGTCCCCTGAGGTGACCACTGCCTTGGGCTCTGCCCCCACAATGCCGGAAACTGTGGGCTCCACCTCATCCGTCCCTAAGTTTAGGGAAATAACTACTGAGAAGGCATCAGCTCCCTCCCTGGCCTCTGTACTGCTGGGTGGAAGCTCCCCCCCATCTCCCCCAGAGGCCACATCTTCCGTGGGCACCGGGGAGGGCGCAGGGACGAGTCCACTCCTGTCACAGGCCAGCTCATCTTCCGGAAGGGAAATCGACTCCTGTGCTTACTCATCCTCCGGCATCAGCCACAGTGCTGATTCTTTTGACCCATCCTCCAGAGGAGTGACCGGGGCCTCTCGCCTAGACCCCACGGCCTCGAGCTGGATCTCCTCATCGGCACTTACTGACTTTCAGGCACAGACAAGCCAAACTTCTCCCAAGACTCCTTCCTCCTCAGGGCCAGAGCACACCAGCCTGGGAGAGGAGAGTGGCCTGGCCAGGACCTCATCAGGAACATTTACCTCTTCTGAAGCCAAGGGAGAGCCCTCCTGGACATCTGTCTCTGTACCGTCAGAGGCTCCAGCTGACAGAGGTGAGGCTTCTGGGTCAGACCATCTGTTCCTGATCTGGATAGCTTGCCCCCATCCATGAGTAAGGACCTGCTCTTTCTGCCCTCTTGGAAATGGCTTTGTTCTCCTTGGTTTGGTCACTGAAGATGGTAAGAAATCTCCTCGCCTTTTTTTAACAGGATATTTGACTTGTCTTGCATCAGGATTCCGGCTTCAGGGAAATGTCCAATTGGCTAGGGGGCCACTAGAGCCCCTGGGTCTGGTTTTCTACCGGTAGTATGGGGTTGCCCTTCTATAGTGTGCAGTGTAGACTTCCTGATGAATCTCACATTTTTTAAAACCTTTTTTTTTAATTGAGGTAATATACAGTTCAGTGGCATTAAGCACATTCACACTGTTGTGTACGCATCCCCGTCATCCATCTCCAGAACTTTATCTTCCCCAACAGACACTTTGTTCCCATTAAACACTAACTCCTCTTTTTCCCCTTCTTCTAGCATCTGAAATCACCATTCTACTTCTGTCTCTGTGAATCTGACTATTCTAGGTACCTTATATAAGTGGAATCATGTAATATTTGTCCTTTTGTGTCTGGCTTATTTCACTTAGCATAATGTTTTCAAGGGTCATCCATGTTGTAGCTTGTATCACAATTTCTTTCCTTTTTTTAATGTTTATTATTTTTTTTTTTTTTTTAAGGGAGAGAGAGACAGAGCATGAGCAGGGGAGGGGCAGAGAGAGAAGGAGACACAGAATCTGAAGCAGACTCCAGGCTCTGAACTGTCAGCCCAGAGCCCAGTGTGGGCCCTAAACTCATGAACTGTGAGATCATGACCTGAGCCGAAGTTGGCCGCTTAACCAACTGAGCCACCCAGGCGCCCCTCTTTCCTTTTTAAGGCTGAATAATAGTTCATTGTAGATATATAGCGCCTTTTGCTTATTCATACATAGATGGACATTTGGGCTATCTCCATGTTTTGCTCATTGTGAATCAGGCTGCTGTGAACATTAGCGTACAAATATCTATTTGAGTCCTTTTGATTCTTTGGGGAAAAATACCTAGTAATGGAATTGCTACATAATATGGTAGAATACTAAATTCTTATGTTTAGATTTTGAAACTTCTTCTTGAGGTCACCTGTTCTCACCCAGATAAGAATCAGCCCATCATGACTAAGCTTCCCTAGGTATCTCCGATTGATGGTCCATCTCAATAAGACTAGTGGGAGGGCGCCTGGGTGGCTCAGTCGGTTAAGCGTCTGACTTCGGCTCAGGTCATGATCTCACAGTCTGTGAGTTTGAGCCCCGCGTCAGGCTCTGTGCTGACAGCTTGGAGCCTGGAGCCTACTTCAGATTCTGTGTCTCCCTCTCTCTCTGACCCTCCCCCGTTCATGCTCTGTCTCTCTCTGTCTCAAAAGTAAATAAACATTAAAAAAAATTTTTTTTTAAAAAGACTAGTGGGAATAGAAGTATGTGGCTTCTGTGTCTGTCTTGTCTCCCTGAGATGACTGATCACATCGCCTTGGTCATCACTGGTTATAAAACAAGCAGGTTCCTATCAGGAATCTGACAGCCTTTCCTGACACTATCTGGCATATGCCCTCCTCTATGTCCTATTAGGATATCTGACTTAAAGTCACCTGGACAGACACCTGCCTCACTCTTTGACAAGCCCATTTTTTATGGACTAGACCAGCACTTTGACGTGATGTCCGTGATCCCAGACTTTATGTGGATTCTGTTGATTCTGGGACTAGAGAGAGAAGAGGCTCAATTATTGCCCATTAATATCTTATTTCATCGTGCTTGTTCACGGCACAATTCTCACGCAGAGCTGGTGTTCCAGTCCCCCAAATCTGTGTTCTCCTGTCTCTAGCCTTTGAATAACATTTCCTTATAAATAAATGTCTTTGTTTCTAAACTGGGCACATATTAGTTTTTCTCAGGTGCTTTCCCTCTAAACTGACCAGTATCCATCCAACCCACCTGTCTCTCCTACAGGCACTGATGGGACTGTGGTGTCCGTTACTCACTTCCCCACATATGAAAGTTCCTCATGGCTGAACAGTGACCCTTCAACACCTGTGACAGTGGTTGATTCTGCAGGTATGACAGCTGCTGCTAAACTTTGTCTCTCTAGGAACCATGTTTTCTATTCTCTGGTAAGTTGTGTTTCTGCTAGAACTAGCCTGAGATGTTGGTACCACCTGGATTTCTCCTAAAAAATGTAGATCTCTTGGCCCTATTTCTCCAATATGGGACTTAAATATCTCCAAGGACACAAGAGACCATTCAATGTTCAGGACGTTTTCATTAGTAGATGGCTCTTATCGAAAGAGGTCCAGAGCTAGCATGATAAGGATTGGTCAGGGGTGGTTGACAGTTCCTGGAATGAGCCCTACATGAGAAAAAGCCACCATCTTGGAGGATGTGATACCATGAGCAAGTCAACTCTGTGTCCTGGAGGTTTTCCTGAAAAGGAAATGGTTCTCTCTTGTCAGGTAGAAGCGATAGAGGTTTAGAGACTGACCTATCATTTTATAATCTAATCTTCCCTGCCCTTAGATTCTCTTTAAAGGCCAAATAGGAGTTTCCAAAATAAGAAATAATAAGATAATATACATATTAAATTATGCCCTAAATCTTTAGAGATAATATCCAGTAATCCAGGGCTTCAGGTGGGAAGCAGGGACCACAGCACTTGGTAAATAAGGGTCAGATATGGGGAAGGAGCAGTAGATATAGAAAAGGAAGGACAGACTCTCCCCCATTGGCCAGAAACAGGATTTGTTAAATGTTCTCTCCAAGCAAACTCAAAGAGATCAATCTAATAATCATAGAAACCTTACCATAATCACTAATACTTCCTAAAATCATGAATACACGTTTTAGCAATGGAGGGCTTGGGGCGACAACTACACTGTATCATGTCACAGCTTCTCCTTGTGGCCAGCAGATGACCACTATGTTTGCTGAGACTTTAGGAATGAGTCAGACTGCTGAAAGCCCTGAACTGACAACTCTATACATTTCCATTGCTTCTTCTGAGAAGCCAAGCACACAGCCTGATGTAAATGGTCCCTTTCTCTGCCTGGCCCTGTATATACCTTGATCTTGACAACTAGTGCATATCCATCATCTGCAACTATTACCAGGTCAACTTCTCATAGAGACACAAGTTCTCAGGAACTCATTCTGGAGCCCAAAACCAGCCCATCCATCTCAGTATAAGCCTTCTCTTCAGGGTCCAGGACGGGTAAGGTCAAGCATCTTTGGGTGGTCAGCAGCACAGGAGTGGCCATCATGTCCTTACCAGCACCAGTCCTTACCAGCATGGAAGGCAAGCAGAGCCCTCCCTCAACTCTTCCTACAGCATTCACAATGTCAGGGCATAAGTACCCAGTAGCAGTGACCCCTCCTGAAGGAAATCTGACTCTGAGTACAAGTTCCAAGGGACAGAACTTGAAGTCTTCCTACACTAGAGATGACAGTGTAAACCATTTTCTGAAGTGAGACACCACTGAGATGACGGGGTCACTCACCGGGTCTAGTGAAAACCAGATTGCCGGTGGGTGTGAGCACAGAAATTTAGAGGAGTTCTCCAAGTTGGATCAGTACCTCAGTGGAGACACTGGCTGCTTCTGAGACCACTACAGACACAGAGGGAATTCATCCTTTTACAGTTTTACTGGTAGACTCTGTCTGGGCAACCAGTTCTGAGGCTGGTCATGTTCTCCTGTTCCTACCCACTCAGAATCACACAATGTCATGCCACCAATGGTTACAGCCTTCATTCCAGAGGCAACCAACCTTTATACTTCAGCCTCCATTCTTCCTAAAACTGCAAGGACTGGGGAAGAATCTGGTTCCTCACAGACTCTTGGACTGAGGGACACTGGTATTTCTCAGGATTCTAGCACAGCCACAGACACAAAAGCATGATCTTCTCCCAAGTGTTCAGGGATGCTACTACTGAAATCACTGGGACTTGAGTTTGCTTCCCAGTAAACTGTACCTATCCCAGGCTTTACTCAGTCAGTAGGTGACACTGGCATCCCCAGAAGAACCAACATCAACCGTTGTCTTGCCTCACATGGCTGATTCTTTACACATGACCTTCAACACACCAACAAGCCCGTCTAGGACTGCGGCAAAGAGCACTCTTACTCTGGACACCACGACCACAGCCTCCTGGGAAGGAACCCCTCTGCTGAGACAGTTTTTCACTCTCAGAGATGACTACTCCTATGAGCAGAGGGCTAGAGGCTCCATCATAGACAAGACCTTCTTTTTTGGAGGTCTTGGAGGATTTGGAGAAAAGACCAAATCCCTGTCCCCTCTGGTACTTATTCTAAGCTCAACTTCAGCTTCTTATGTTTCTTCCAAGGCAGAAAAATCCAGAACCCCTAATTCTCCTTCACTTGCCTCTGGACTGACACTGTCTACATTATTCACCAACATTCAATTCCAGAAAACCACAGTTTTCCCAGGCACTGGCTCCCCAGAATATCCTTGGTGCCTGAGCATTACTGTGGGAGAATATAGGACCCTTAAGGTGATCTCTGTGGCCAGGCCACCAAAGGCCACCACATATGGTGTAGTTGTGACTCTAGCCACTGAGGAGAGCTCCTCTGATGTACAGCCCAGCTCAGTTCCATGTGTTAATACCTGTATCCCATTTACAAGTAAGAACCTAGTTCCTGACTTCTCTTGCACTGGGCATTCTGAGATTTGGTGGATACTATTCAAAAAGGTAAAGAGAGGATTCCTGCTGAGAATGTCCATCTGGTTACACATATCTAGTAGGATCATTCTACTTTCTCTATGTAACTCGTGACGCTTTTAGCATCCTTGAGTCCAAATTCAGTTCCTTCCAGTCTGAACCTACCTTTACCCTCCCCAGATGTGAAGTCTGCATGATGATAGTTATAAAAGAATGATAAAGGGAAATAAGAAAGTGCATAACCAAGACATATTATTTGCATATGTTTGCTAATCTGATATAATAATTCATGATATAATCCTTATTTTACTTATGGAGAGTCTAAAACATGGGAGAGAAAAATCAACCAATGGTGAATTCACATAGGTGCTAGAGACAGACTACTGCCAAATGCTTTTGCTTGAGGCCAGTCAATTCAGCAGTCCCACCATCAACAGGAAACTCTTCTATAATTATGATGTAAGACACCTTATCAGTTTGATTTCGTGCCAAGAGAGTCAGTCCTCACCATGTGCCTTCTCAGAGACAGATGAGGACATGCTGAGTCAGTGCCTAGTGAGAGCATTTCTTGTGTGTTCCCATCTTGAAGGAAAGCTAGGCTGACGTGTCAATCCTCTTTTCCTTCAGGTCCTCAGGAGCCTGTGGCAACCACCACTGGGGAGCTGAGTGAGGGGGCGTATGGAGGCACCACGTGGTCAACGGGTGACCCCATGTCTCTGGTGACTGCAGGCAGACTGGGTATGTACGATCCTCTGTGTACATTATGCTTAAGATTGGTCTCTGGACTAAAATAATTGATTTCCTCAGTCCCAGGTTCTGGTACATAATCAAAACTTTCTGCTGTTGTACCCAGAGGCTATTGGTAACATTTTAAGTGGAGATTTATTGACTTCTAATATGACTTGCTTCTCCTTAGTAATTTATATGTTCAAGAGCCAATCATTTCAGCTTTAGGAACAGATATAATGTCTCTACAAAACAGCTGACCAATTGTGAAGGGCCTTCCTAATTCAGATACCATCACTAAGGTCAGGGATTGCCAAGAACAGGGAAAGGTAGACCTGAGATGCCATTGGTTTATTCTACGGGACAATTCATAATTACAAAATGATTATAATGCTGTCCACTGTTACAGTGTTCTGCAGGTGAGAGGAGGTGTCCATTTAAGGTGCTAGGTGGATGAATACAGCTGTCCTGGTTCCTGAGAGCAATACTTTGATGTGTCTTTCTATGCTAGAAGGTGGAGCGGTTCTTCATTTCACCTAATTAGAGGTGAAAGAATAAGAAAATATACAGGAAGTAAGGTGCCTTAATCCACCTCTTCCCTTAACCTGTTAAAAACCAAGCCACAGAAATTTTCATTAGAATCAGTTTTGAGGTCTAGGGGATAAAGACAGATATTAGACTAAAAGAGATTGATTGAGAAGGCTGGACCAAGGTGGAAAAATGGAGAGGGAGAGTTTTTCTCCACCAAAAGTTGGGAGAGTTTTTCTCTATTCCTGTGTAGAATCTTTACCCTCCACTAAGACATGAGATGTGGTATATAGGTCTGCATGGAGGCCACACTGATATAAAAAACCCAAGATGCCAGAGGGAGCTCTGAGAGCCAGTAGACCAAGCTCATGTACCCAACATTGGGCACAGGGTTGGACAGTATGATTCCTGCCATCTGGAGGAACATATTATGTGCAGATTTGTAAGGAGAGAGGAAGGAGAATCAAAATCAGAAGAGCCCCATTTTTACCTCCTTGCAAACTTCCTAACTGAAGAGCTGTTTCAGTCACAGGCCTGCCCACAAGAAGCCCAGGAACATCTGAAGATATCCTAAATCCAAGCTCCAAGGAGCCCAGCAGCAGCCACAAGACCAGGATCACTGTGGGGACTTCTCTTAGGAAGACTCCAAAAGAGACTGCCCCTGTGGATACCACAGTGGGACTGGCCACCCTTCAGTCCCCGAACACAGGGAGTGTCAGCACCAAACTCCTTCCCTTGCCCACAGGAAACACGATGACAGCAGAATCATCCACAGAAATGGCAGTAGTTACAAATAACATCTCACACTCCACACATCCGGCTGAGGCCTGGGCTAGTACTTATTCTGGGACACCAGAAGGGACAAGCCAGTCAAGAGGAACAATGTCCTCTTTCCACCCAGAATCAACTTCTGTAGGTGCCACAGGGAAGGTTCAGCAAGTCAGCTCAGGCTTGACTTCAAAGACAACTGAAATGGACTTGTCCACACGGTTTGGCTCCACCGAGGGGACGGCAGTGGACACTCATTTCCCCTTGAGCACATCTTCCACTGGTCTTCAAGACTCTGCAACAAGTTTAGTTATCTCCAAGGTAGCCACAGGCTCAATGGCAGATAAATCTGAACTTAAAACCATGCCGTGGGTCAGCACCGTGGTCATTCCTTCCACGGCCTTCAGTACAAAGGCAATGGCAGTTGAACGACAGACAGGTGGATCTGTGGGGAAGGCTTATTCATCTGGCCCATGGCCAAAGCAGATACCTGGGAGTGACCCAATGTCGAGTGCCTCCCCTGTGAAGCCAGACACAGCTACCACCACCCTCACAACCCACATTCCTCCAACAGGACCTTGGACTTCTGACAGGTCAGAAGACTCAGCCGCTATCAGCCTCACCAGTATGGCAAAAGACACAACTGGTTCCTCTATATCTGCTACTTCCCCTTTGGTGGGGCCCAATTCTGAGTCCATCACTGGACTGGAGACCACTGAAATGGCATCTCCACCTGGGGTCCCTTCTGTGACATCATATCCGACAGAACTAACAAGCAAGGGTGGGGCTCTCACCTTGGTGATCATCACCTCCAGCCCCAGGGGAGCAAGGTCAGTTTCAACTATAATGACTAGCCCGGAGAGGAAGTCCAGGGCCACAGTCAGCACCCAAGCACCAGGGACCTCTCCATGGACTGTCACAGACACAGCTGTCCAGTCACATGTCACTGGTTTGCCCAAAGTCAGTTCTACAGGGAGGACACTTTCCTCCTCAGCAGTGGCTACTGGAACAGCTGAACAACAAACAAGTGTATCTGTGGGTGCGGCTTATTCATCTGCTATCACACGGTCAGACAAGACAACTGGGAGTGATCTGATTCATGGTGCATCTCTAGAAGCCACAGACACATGGCATCTCACCTCCAGAGAACAAATCACATCGGCAACTCTGACCTTTAAAAGCCAAGCCATCACCAGCCCCACCAATGATGCTTCAGGAGGAAAAATGAACTCTTCACCATCTGGTGTATTTCCTTCAATGGAGTCTAAGATGCTGGTGGCCGTCACAAGTGTAACGACTAGTAAGGCTGCCTCTATGACTGAGCAACTGTCACAGACCTCATTTCCTGCAGAAGCGAGCATGATGAGTACGACCACAGCCCCCCCTCCACGTGTCATCACCACTATCACCACTATGGGAACCAACTCAGTCCTGACTACCATGTCCAACCCAGAGAGGAGAGAGAGCACCATGGACAGCACCCTGGCTACAGAGACCAGCACATCTGCCATGGAGCATCCTTCCACCTGGTCATCCACAACTGCTTCTGCCCCAACATCAGGCTCCTCGGCTATGAAAGACATAACTTCAATTTTGAAAGTCACAGGTTCTCCCAAAACAACTTCTGCAATGGGCACAACTTCATCCTTAGCATCAAGCACAGAATCAGGCTCTTTATCTACTCCCCATGGCATTATGACTGTTACTGGAACCAGCCCAGCCAGTCCATCTTCTCGTGCTTCAGCTGAAGATATGAGGTCCACAAATATGAGAACATTGACTCCTTCAGACACAACTGCATCTATGCCCATTTCAACTTCTGGTATCGAGAAGATGAACACCTTACTTCCTGACATTTTAGACACAAGTTGGACTACCAGTAAAAGAAATATGGAAGTTCTGCCTGGTTCAATGGCTTTCACTGACCATCCACATACAAAGACTGACCCCAATATCCTCCTATCCGTTTCACTGCCTGATTCTCTGCCCACACATGACTGGACTACTGGGAAACCTGTGTCACCAGCCACAACCACTACCTCCACTCCTCAAGGGGACACAACTCAAAAATTCAATGTAATGAACACAGTCAAACCAACTACCTCATACATACCATTCTTTACAACGGAAACAGGTATAGCTCCTTCGCTAAGTTACACTCCTACAAATGAAGAGAGAAGAACAGAGAAATACACCAATGACAAAATATCTACCCCAACACTTCCTCAGTCCATGAGGTCATCAGATACCACTAGGGACCATATAATGAAAGTTGTGACAAATGGTGAAAAACTAACCATGAGTGAACAGGATGGTACTACTAGGACTACATCTGAGGACACGCTAGCCTTGGGTACCTCAGCCATAGCATCAAGGGCAGAGATGCACTCGGCTGCGACTCAGGGTTCTAGACACTCAGAGACGACCACTAGCATGGACAGACATTCAGAGGATGTGTCACACCCAAGCCCTTCCTCTGAGCAGGACATCAGCTCTCCATCTTCCCTGGTGCCTTTATCTTCCATGACCTCATCCTCTACAGTGTCCCCCACACTGCCAACCAGTAATCCTCCTTCTCTTGTACCTGTCACGTCACCTCTCACCCATGGCCTGCTGAGGACCCACAGCACTTGGAACACAAGCTTGGAAGGTGTGATCAGTTTACCCTCAGGTCTGAGTAAAACCTCAGTAGAGATTCAGGCCTCGTCTGAAGACTCTACTGATACAGAGGCCACTCACCTTCCTCAAAACACAGCAGTGACCTATGTAGGGACCCTCAGTTCTGCATGGGAATCTAACCCCGTGACCCCAGCGGGCTTACAGCCAGACAGAGGCACATCTCATGTCAAGACCTCCTCCATTGGTGGGGATGCCATGGCTTCCACAAAAGGGTCGGGCCTCTCTGGAACCATGGAGACTGAGACACCATCAAAGATGTCCCTGGCCCCAGACCCATGGGAAACCAACATGTTCCGGCACACCAGCTCAGCCACAGAGGAAATCACTGTCCCTTCCAAGGTGTCCACAGGTACTAATACTGAGGCCACCAGGACAGACATCATGTTCTTTAGCAGGGCATCCACCCCGGGCCCTGTTCAGCTCACGATGTCACCAGACTTCCCCACAGAAATCAACACCAGGCTCTCTCTTTCCCCCGTCATGACAGAATCTGAACCTATCACCATGGACACTATAAACATTCCCTTAGAGGCTATACCCCAAGACACACTAGTCTGGGATACATCAGCCACAGCATCAGGGGCACAGACACACTCAGCCATGACTCAGAGTTCTCCACGCCCAGAGATGACCGCTAGCGGGGACAGAGGTTCTGAAGATGAGTCACCCGCCAGCCCTTCCTCTGAGCAGGACATCAGCTCTCCATCTTCCCTGGTGCCATCTTTACAAGTTATGTCCTTGACTTCTGCAGTGTCCCCCACACCTCCAGACAGTAGTTCTTATCCTTCTGACTCTGTCACCTCACCTCTCGCCACTGGCCTGCCGAGGACCCACATCACATGGGGTACGAGCTCGGAAGGTGTGAACAGTTCACCCTCAGGTCTGAGTCAGACCTCAGTCGATGTATGGGCCCCATCTGAAGTCTCTACCACTACAGAAGCTATTCACCCTCCCAAAACCACAGCAGTGACCCACATGGGGACCCTCAGTACTGCATGGGAAGCCCACT